AGAAAACAACCTGCTTCCCGATTTAAAATCCGATCCACTCCATGTAAACAGCAATAAAAAACCATCTGTCGTATTATAGATTATAAATAAGACCTCATTCCTTCTCCGTTAGCCCATGTGGTAACGTGGACGCTCTGCTCAATCTAATATTGTGGATTATGTGGAGAGCTCTCCCTAGTTCGACTGCTTGTTCTTTTTCAACTCGTTTCCATAGTGAAGAAAATGGATAGGATGGGGCGATTTATTACGTTAGGCGATTTACGCTACTCTTTCAGAAGGCGGTACACCCTTGGTCGTCACTTAGAATGTTGGCTGTATTGTTTGGAAGGGGCATTTCTTTTGCGTTTCTTCTTAGTTCATGTTAAAAAATCGGTCTCATTTTGGTGACACCCATCAACTCCCCTGTAGATGCAAAATGATGCGAGTGAGCCACCCCTTTGGTTCACAATAATTTGCAGGTATCCACGAGGCTGCCTGTGCAAGTCTAGCTGAGAACCATTCGGTGCCCCCACCTAAGCGAACTGCGCAGACGCCTTCTGACACGTTGCTCTTCATCGGCATTCTATTCAAAGTGACATCATTGAAAGCAGTGCAGCAAAAGGAGCAGCTTGTTGAGATGCGAAATCTCTTCAGAAAAAGGTCTAGCGCCCGATTTTGAAGAGCATTTCAAAAGCAATGTAATAACTAAATTGAATATGTAAGGAGCAGCCTAGCGTGTCGAGGTGTTCATTTTAACAAAGCGCTATGATGTTCGCTGGGCCACTATTGCGTTCCTTCAACGTTTGTTTGCCAATTTCAATTTTTTACTTTCTGCTTTGATATTTGATATGACTCACGGCTATCATTACAGATGCCAACCACCCAACTGACCATCGTTGTCTCTCAACCACGAGTACTGGCAGGAGAAATTCTTAACGTACGGGTGAGTGCTCACCTTGACGCTAACTTTATCTTAATTCTCTTGAACGTTCATTATAACTTTTTACTCGTTGTTCTCGCTTACTTTTTATTCGTTGTTCTCGCCGTTTGAATAATCAAAGTATGAACTTTCCGCCGTTGTCAATCCTTATTGGAATGCGCCACCTAATTTACAAGTGTCAGCAAGTGCCCGTCCAATTATTAGCTGGCTCTTCTAGTGTTTTAAACCAATAACTCATCCTCACAATTACTTTTACTGCCTATTACTAGCCCCAGAAGATTTGGAGAATTTCATCGGGCTTGGCGGTAGGGAGTGTCCGGAATTTGACTTCTGACTCTGGGCGCTTTGAACGTTCCACTTGCACCACAGCACCTCCAGATGGTTTAAGTCTTCCATCTCGCAAAAAAATATCCCCATAGTCTCGCATAGGTCACATAGAAGCTGCTGGCTGCAAATTCGCTCCCGTATTCGATTTTTCGGCGTTTATAACTTTGTTCAGGTCGGCTAAATGCGATACTCATCACCTAGTAGAGTGGCGCTTGGCAACTGGTGCCGGCGCTACAACACACAGGCACTCGGAGTCAAATCCACCTCCGCGAAGCCTTCCAGCTCTTCACTAGGTCAATAGTATGCACAATAAGAAGTGACAACACTGCCTATACAATAATACGATACAATCTTCCTAGCCAGCTGCTTATCGAGGTGGAGGGCATTCTGTACTACCATTGAGGATTCCCTCCAGTTCCGGTTTACAAACCTCCTTCTGGTAATACCTTGTGACGTGAAGCTGGAGCAAAGATCGTCTAAAATCCACTCATCCTGAAATGTGTCAAACTCGAGAAAAGGCTACGCTAGATGGGATGGATACTATACATCTATGTAAATACAATGCCCCCCCCCCCGTCGACAAACTGCGCCCATCTTCTGCCCCTCACAAGGCTTTATTCTGGCGAAATTGCATTCCAAGGTCCACGATCATTTCGAATGGAAATTGAATGCGTGTCGTATTCTTGAAAGGTTCAATTAACATTTAATATAATTAACCCGTGCAGCTTTCACTCATTCATTCACGATTTTTGCTTCCTCATTGCAAAAAGTGCTTAAGTGATGACTCAGAAAAAATGGGTTTCGTTTCCGAATAGATTTGAAAAAATATAATATAGTAAAAGTACACTGAACTTGGTACTGGCCGTAGAGGCAAGAAGTTTGTAAGAAAAATGATTCTCATGGCTGCACTTTCCGATAGTCACTACCTACCATATCTGTTGTGCTGTTTAATAGTTTCCGAGGGGTAGAAGTGAAGTACCTATTCACTACTAGACTATTCGATACTACATATCTGTTGGAAATTCAGGTATTGTTGGATTCTGCCGATCCAGACACGGTCATTCACAGCTTAATCGCAGAAGTGAAAGGAGTGGGTCGAACTGGTTGGGTGAATATTCACACGGGATGAAAATATTCGAAAACAGAAAAGGTGAATATAAAAGCTTAGCTAGTTTCTGCTCTCCGTTCAGGAATGTTACCTTGTGTTTTGTTCTTGTGATGAGCGCCATTAAGCGTAGGCAGGAATAAGTTCTCGTCACTTTAGCTGGTTCTTGTCTCATGTACGCCTAACCGTCACGCTGTACGAGAAGGTATCGCAAAATTGTACAATGTCTTGGACTATTCACTCTTCGAAGGGTCCAAGGCCTTCTAAAAGGGCTGTTATGATACTGCCATCTTTTTGTCATTCGTTTTGCACATGCTTCCGAGTTTTGTAGGGATAAGTGGACAAAGTATTAAGTCTTAAAGTTTATCCAGTCCCTTTGTTGGATGCGGAGGCATTCTCCTTCTTCCAGATTCGTAGTGGCTCATTTGATGCGATGTGGTCTATACAATGACTTGCGGCCAACCGATTTTATTATACAAGTCGGTAATTCTTTATCCTCCCAGACGCATCGGCACGAGCGAATTTGCCGTTCCTCGTCCCCTGGGGGAGGGAGGAGGATGTAAGGTTTGGTTGCTCGAGGGGGGGGCGGGAGTCGACTCGAGATTTGAACTAAGTACCACGCAAGTGATAAGCGTGCAGCCTGCCACTACACCACCTCCGCCTCTGCGGTCATGTAGGTATAAAGTCCAAATCTTTAAGGTGCAGTAGGCGTGGCCACGTACTTGTACTTGTGGCGGCTGCCCTTTGGTACTAGATTTTCATTTTCGCGGGGTCGACTGGGATCAGATGACTTTGTCTCACCACGAGACAACACGACAGTTTTCCTCGAGGAGCATCCTAACGTGAATAAGTCACTCCTGGGCCAAAGGTTGATAAGTACGCAGCCGCGCTTACCCGCGTCGGTCAGGGGTGGTGATGTCGTCGATTAGCATGACATTCGAGACGCCCCGCGCCCTATATGTACAATGTGGACCTACGCCTAACAATCGCAGGAGAGGTATCTGGACCAAAGCTCTTTCCTTTCGCATTCAAACGGGTCGGAGACTGTAAACAGAACACAGTGGCCTTAACAAAATCTGGAGATGATCCGATGAGGACTGAGGACTACAAGCCCAGTTACTATGGCGGAGATTCAGAGGACTCCCATGTGTAAAACTGAGATTGCCGTGAGACGACGATTCTGTTGGGAGTTGTTAGCGTCTCAGTCCACGTAAGCCGCTTGCTCACCCTGATGGGCACGTGGAAATTTAAGTGGCAGATCCTGGCAGCAGTTCCAGCTGTGGTAAAAAATCCTCTTTATTTTCTCAAATCACGAGGGAGTCTTTCGAATGCCGCGAATCAGTTCAATATTTGAAAGATCCTCTTTCAGTTATACTTCCATAGTCAGCTGGCACTGTGCCCACCAGGAACGCCAATTCCTTGTGGTAAACACCAGTTCCCTCTACAGGTAGGTCGCTACCAATTTTTTGCTCACAATTTGCCCAGAAATTTTCACTTTTCAGGTGCTTATACCAGAAAATGCTCCAAGTAGTTACGAAAGCCAATTCGGTTCCATTCGGTACCAGGTGAAAGTGATCCTGACAGCTAATACTGAACAGGTATCTGCTTCTCATGCACTCGATTCAAAGCCACATTAAATCAATTTTTTAGGCATCCTGCTCCGAAGTATTCCCAATAGTTGTATTGGCTCGTTCATTTTTTGATCAAGTGCCTGTAAATGTATTATCGCCAATCGATTTCAAAGATGAGGTACACATAGCATGAGCCTTTTTGGTCAAATACTTTACAGATGAGCGACTTTCCTTAAAATCTCACAAATCGCGGGTCGCTCTCTGCTGAAGCAGTCTGTGTGGCGAGTTCGGTGACAAGGGGGGGGGGGAAGGAAGAGCATTTTGCACTTTTGCTGCTTCACTAGTTCCGGTTTACAAGTCTCACTCTGGTGAAACCTGTGAACTCTTGTGAAGCTGGAGCAAGCTCGTCAAGCCACCATGGTAAAACCTGCCAACTCGAGAACAGGCCTCCAGGCCTCCTAGATGGGTCGACAATGGAAGTAGCAAAAGTCAAAATGTCCCCCTCCCGTCGCTGAACTGCCACAAGCTGTGTTATTTATGAGTAATGGGGAACTCTGCCACGTTGTTTTTAGCAGGACTGTGAGTGATGAATATGTTCTAGACATAGATCAAAAGGAAAGAGTGGTAAGCGTGATGAACTCAGGATGCGCCGCTCACATGACTTTTTCTGAGAATCGTAGAACCATTTGGTTGCATATTTGAGGAGGTGAGGAGGTGAACCTTACTTAACACAGTGCTAAAATTGAGAACTGCACCCTCACCTCCGTGGATCGCGGTCCTGGTCATGTGAGATGATGGGTCCACAGCTGCAGTAGTTTGCCATTTTCTCTGCTCAAAAGTGCACTGTAAGGGGAGTCAAGGTAGCCATACCCGTCTCCATCCTCCACCCGAGCAGCCGCATGGCTAGCCGCACACCCAGTCATGGCCAATCACAACCTGCCTATACCTTCTCACTTCTGGTTGTCCTCTACAATCTCACTTCTGGTTGTCCTCTACAACTGAGTACTTGCATCGCTGCGAGATCTTGGCTATCGATGCAAACGGTGCACGTTGAGGCTAGCGCGGGCGGACGTAACGACGCCCCTCGGGTACCACTTCCGTACAAATTGGTTCCCGTGCACATTTGAGCGGAGAAAGTGGCACGCTACCTGCAGCTACGGATCCATTCACCTCGCACAAGGAATATATCGCTCTCGCAGGCGAGTGTACAGTTTGTTCTTGGACCGCACATCTGTGAACACGGTAGGCATGGCTGCATACTTCATTTGAGGATTCATCGCGGAGTAATTCATTCTGAAAGCCACGCCTACCGCATCTCAGGAGACTGGAGTATATACTGCACAAATCTGAAAACCACTAAACTAGACGCCAAGATGTTGACCGTCACACTGAACTAGGTGGATCTATTGAATCAGCTGTGCAGTGGTGAATTCGCACTCTTTTATTGCATCAGTTGTCAGTCATCAGGCGTCAGGCGTCTTTCATCAGATATTGCAATCTTGTGACTGGAATATTTACGTCCATGGGACATTCTACCCCAAGTGTACCAGTAAGAATCGTAGTTGCACTCTGGAAACGATCTTACAATGACCTCCGAGGGTCACCGATGACCAATTCAGTGCTTTTGCTCTGCCAAACGAGTCTGGTAGCACTTCACCGGTCCCGGTGGGATGAAAGCCGTGGTTGAAGGTGCATCTGGCCCTTGACGAAACCATCATCCCGGCCCTTGAATCTGCTAGATTTTCTAATAATTTCTGCGTCACTTCTCAACATTTTATTCTGAAACTGCTTATTCTTTTATTTTTAACATTCAACCACTGACCTACCGACATCTGTATTGACTACAAGCAGCCAATGTGCAGGCAACTTGTATTATAGTAGCCTGTAGAAGTGTGGGGACTTCACTATCAGAGAACTTCTGAGGTCTACTTTGAGATCATCTTCATGACGATGCGGCGTAGTTCTCGATGATGACGCAAAAACATATTGAGGTGGAAGTAAGAAGGGGCAACGTCAGGGATGTTGCGCTAATGTGGATAAATGCCTACTCGAGTCAGTGTCACATCGTCTGAATCGAGTTCTCCACTCTTAGCCTACTGCCACCCTCCAGCTGTTCGTATAACACATTCGCAGTATGTCTTAGCCTTGCTGGTAGAACTGTATCGCAGCATCTTCCAGTGTAGAACTTTCCAGTCCAGCAACACAACATGATCTTCTTGAAGGCAGTTGGCGAGATAAGTCCCTAAGACGAGTAGAATTAATACGCCTGACAGGACAGCGATCCAGCGTCAGGCGCCGCGTAGCGCCTTTCCCAGGGAAGGTACCCTTATGAGAGACCTATCAAGCTACAACATACCGACCCGAACGCCCACCACGCCCGCCCACCCACTGGACGACCGTACCTGATGCTCTTATTGCTTCATTTGCTAAGTAAAATAAGAAGCGAAGGGATTGGTAAGCGGCTGCGGTGCTGCATGGATGTATGAGTAAATACGTGCAGCCGTACATACCGTAGCGGTTACTGGCAAGATGCCTGCGGGAAACTCGTCCGAAATTGCTTTTTGAGTCATTGAGAAAAGCAGGCTTTTCTTCGCAGGTTTTTGACCGTTTCACTTCGCTTTTTCGCCATTTCCCCTACTACATAGCGCCCTGCTAGCATTTTAAGCCTAGTAGCAAGATTATCGTGCCAACTGCCTTCAAACTGCGGTCTAGATTTTCTCTCTCGGGATTTTTCTCCCGGGTTGGATGGTGAGAGCTTTTTCCTCGTAGTGTCATCGCAGTTTTAGTTGTTTCGGGAGATAGAGCAGCGCCGCTGCCATGAGATAGCTCAATTAAATAGCTTCACAGAGTTCCTTCCCCCACTTGTCTAGGGTCAACTCATGGTAGATGCAGGGTTACCACAAAAGCAGACAACTGTATCCGGAAAACCTGTTCATCCCACTAAAAACGCTTACAAGCACTTATGTACACCAGAGCGTGAAAAAGGCCACTCAAGAAAGCTCGCCATTGAGCCTCTACAAGTACCCTTCAACGCCACTAATTCATATTCTGTCGTCATGTAATTTCAGTTCGAGGACTTCTCGCATCTGATTTTCAAGGTTCTAGAGCGGAAGAAGTTTTCGAGAGCTGTTTTTATTGCGTCCGCCTCGCTGAAAGTGTTCTTGAATCAGACAGGGCGAATATCTGCAAGTCGCAAGCGGCACACCAAGATGCGAGCGAAATGGGCGAAAATCACAGTAGTCTTTCCTTATTCACGTGAAGATTTGGGGCCCGCTCTTGCACGTGTCGAAAGTCGAAGTGGTAGCACTTACTGTTAAAGCTCGATGGTAGTTAAAAACAGCTCCCGCGATAAAAGTGTCATGGATAGTTGCTTTTCAATTATGAAACAGTAGCTGATAAGTAATTTCCCAAAGAAGAAAAAAAGCAAGAAGAGTCCTCAAGAACAACATAAACAAAATCGCTCCCTCACAGTCACACCTCCCTGCGGTCTCTGTGCAACCCCTAGCTCACAAATCGCTTTATCACATCTCCCAGTAGTGGATATCATCCAATGCGAAGAAAAGAATACGAAAAACAACAAAAACACGGACGAAAACACTTAAAAAAAAGAAAATTTCAAAAACTCGGCGTCCGAATTTGGGGTTACGGTAGCGTGCATCTTTTAGTGCATGTCGAGCTTTTGCACCACGAAAATTGCATCGCTCGTGATTTTACGCGTTTTACCTTGCGAGATGGGTTGGGGTTGACTGCATAAGCTCCTCATGAATAAAACGTTACAAAAGAGAACATTCATGGGCACGAGCGCGGTCAGCAAAAAGGCATGCAATTCCGATTAATGCCCGCCGCCCCAACAAAGAACAACTGAGCGGCCCTCCGTCAGAGGGCATCTAGCAAGTGGGCGGTCCAACTGGGCGGGCGTTAGAACTAGAACTTTCAGCGGCTGTAGCTCGCTCCTCGCTCACTGTGGAGTCGCGAGAGTGGGATAGTCTCTAGCTTGGGGGCTGGACTACTTGCACAAGGAAGGACGACCATGTACTACTTCGAGCGCAAGGGCTGTTTTCAAAGGTACTGTCCGCGATCAGCTACAGAAGATGGCAATATGGCGTCCGGAAGGTAGTGTGGTCGCGACGATGAACCTTGTACCGGTTCTGCGGCAAAAAAATTGTAAGGAACGGGCGCTATGACGCAATAGGTTCAGTGACGCCTCCTTTCCTCGAGTGACTCCGCCTCCAGCCTCAGCCTCCAAGGCCCGCCTTACAGTGAAAGCGAAGTTTCAGGACGAAAAAGCATGAAAATCGTCACTTGTACGGTCGTAGAGTTCTTATCGGGGAATCAGCTGTGCGGATGAGGGCGTAGTGTTGGAGATGGAGTTAATTGGGCACGTACAACTGGATTGGAATGGGGTTCTATCTAGGGCAGTTGGCATGTTTTTTTCTGCTTCTTTGTTCACGATCAAGTTACTCAGAACCTTGTCGTTTATAAGCGAATCAACTATCTGTGATGGCGAATGTTCGCAGGCTTTGCCTTTAAATTAGAACAATTCTTAGAAGGTTGATCGGTCAACAAATAAAACTAAAACTGAGAGGTACTGCTCATAACATGTTTCGCAATAGCATGCACAATGGCAAAAAGCGCACGCTAATAGTACTCTTCTGAAAATGTCGGACTATTCTGAGCCTCCCTGCACCTAGCTGCTTCTGCACATATTCCAACAAATTTACTCCAGTTACTATAGAACATATAGAACTGGAGAGTTCCTGAGGTAACTAAAACCTCGGCGCTACTTGCATTTGAACCCGGATTCTGACCATAATTCGTATCTTCAGTGCTCCTTTGCCATAGAGCCTAAACCCTTATGAATTATGAACAAAGGCGGAGTTGTGGCCGAGGATACTTCACTGTGTAGGACTGATTCCACTGAGCCAGCGTTCTGGAAATCAACGAGCTCATTCGGGGCTGTCATTGTAGATGGGATCTTCAGCAAACCTCTACAGTTGACTATACTGTATGGCCTTACCATGTACTCAGATGCCTCATCCATTTTGAAGGAGAAATCTAGGAAAGGCCCAATCCGAAAGAACTTTACCACCGGGGTACGCCATCGTTGTGATTATTACAAGGGAGGGGGGGGGCGTATTTGCGCGCGATGGAGGGGGAGAGGTCGTAAACATGGGGACCTTTTTGATCCGAGGGTGCAGCGATACCCAGATGTCGTTCAGCTTCAATGATGAATGACTTATCCATGTGATGAGCCCTTGAAGAGACCCACACAAGACAGAAGCAACATACCAGCGCAGAAGTGGGAATGGGCGATGACAGAAACTACGATGGTCGCCCACAACGACGTCATGAATAAATAAAAAAGAAGAAGCATGAAGTCTCCGCCGTTGATCAACCTCTTCGTGGGCACGCACTCTACTTCTATTTAGGATCGTAGTGGCGTATTGAATGCGATGTGGCCTATACGATGACTTGCGGTGGAGAGCCGTGTAAGGGTCAGTGTTTCATCCTCCCAGACGAATCTGGTACCATTTCCACGGAGGGTAGTAGGCTTAGTTGGCGTGGGCGAGAGTCGAGCCGGGATTTGAACCCGGCATCGCGCGAGTGGTAAGCGCGCCACTTGTCACTACACCACCTCCGCGCCAATAAATATCCGCCATGAATAAATAAACAGATGAAAGTACACCTCCGGACCTTTCTGTCTCGGGAGCACATCTACTTGCACCTAGGAAGCCCTTTGTAGAAGTTGCACCTTCCCAATAGCTATGCGTGAAAGCGTTGTGCATGGCGCATCGCAGAGGTGATGCCAATTGGCGCCTAATGAACTGTTTCTTGATATCCTTGGCAAAAACATGCGTTTCAAAAGCATACCAAAGTTTTTAAACCAAGCGGAGGTTTTATGGCGTCGGCGGTGTTGATTTTTAGTGTCGTGGGGCAGTGGTCACGAGATGATCACAAGGGGAGATTTTTTCGAATAGCAGGCCTAACGATAAAATGAAAGTTGTGCTGGAAAGTGGAAGGCTTCATGCGTCCGGCACAGTTCTTTTTTTCGAAAGGCCGTGTATGAAGCTTGCCATGGATGTCCAAAGCGTGGCGACTCGGGGTTGGGCCCCCATGATCACAAGAGGATCACAAGAGGATCACAAGGGTGAAACTTTCTAGAAAGGAAATGTTTCAGAAATCGTTAAATCCAGGTAACAAGAGCCAACCTAGCTCTACTCATTCCCACTTCCCCTCTCCGAGAGTTTTACTTTCAACGAAGTTATAGGTGTTCAAAAAGGGGTACTTTTGAGTGTTTGGCTTGAAATTGGCTTGAGGACGAAAAATAACGCGCACCAATGAGCTTGTATTAGCGCGCCGCGTGTGGGTGACGTGTAATGCAAGAGGGACGCAGCGCATGGGCGATTGGATGCAATTACACTCCTTGCGCGCTTTTTGGCTACCGTATCCCTCACGCCTAATTTTAATGTTTTGCGAGGGTTTGTTGTTGACAGCGCGGCCAAAGAAGCAAAGGAAAACGATGCGAAACAGAACGTTTGCAATGTACCAAGGGGGGTCTTATCAAGACCCTTATTTGGAAGGGAGGGGGTCGTATTTTTCAGGAAATGATACAGCGCAATGGCGTGCCGCTGTTTTTAACCACTTTGGTTTGAGTAGCGTATGATCATAAATGTACTGGCTATTCGGGTCCACAGTGTAAGGGCAGACTCATGTTTTGTTTTCGTGGGATCTCCGTTGCTTTCTTTCACTTTGTTGGGATGGCACAACAGTTTCCTCGGATGAAAGCCACGTGGAATCTTTCCCACAAATGCTCGCAGACGTCCCTGTTTTGAATTTTCCGCATGGCAGCAACTGGATCTCACGAAATTCAAAGATTCTTTTGTTATCGAAAACACAAGCAGAAGGCTGAATCGAGAAATAAATCTGTGAGGCGGTAGCATTAGCTGTCTGCTGCGGAGGTCCACATGGTGCAGTGAAAGATACATCATTACCACATTGTTAGTCCGGAGGGACGGTGGCAGTTTGGCAGCAGCGGAGTCGAATCTCGTGTTTTTTTCGCGCGCTTTGCGCGCGTGCACCTCATAGGTTCCGGTCATTTCTCGAGCACCGTTTCCCGTGGCAATAGAGGGCAGTTTGAGACAGTCGGCCATTCCCGCTTGCTATGCACAAAATAGAACATCTACCCCATAGAAATATCAAACTGTTTCTTACATCTGAAGCAGAACGTGAAACTGGAGAGCATAGCAAAAAAGTATTTCTCAAACAGTGCAGCGCAATTCTCGCAGCTCCTTATAGTTCGCCGAGCGGAAAGATTAGCGCAGGGGGCGAGAGTATGGAAACGCTCCTTGTTTCTTCTGGCGTCACAATGAATGTCCAAAACACAATACTAAATACTATTTCCACCCATATTATCTGAAAGTCCTTCTGCCGGCTCTTACCAGTAGCTCTTGTCAGCCCACTATACTCATATAGCGCAGCGAGTATTTCCCTCCCAGTGCTACAGTTTTGCGGAGATAAAGGAATGAATCAGTCAAAGTGTTAGCAGTGCATTCCCACACCCCGAAGATGATGTGGGGGACGTAGCCACCGTGCCTCACTTTCAGTGTGGCCGCAGGATTGGCTATTCAGTGGATACTACAATATGAGCCAACCTTGTTATCAAAAACACAAGAGAGCCTGAATCGAGAAAATAAAGTTCTGTGACGGTAGCTATTTATGTGTCTGCTGAGAGGTCAACATTGCGGCAGTGATAAAGTATATACATTACCACTCTGGTAGTCCGGAGGGAACGTGCAGTTGCAGCAGTGGAGTCAGTTGGCTAGAGAGTTCCGTGTTCCCTTCTGCGCTCTGGCGCGGCGTGCACCTCATACATATTTTACGTGTTCTCGAGACCATTGAATCCGCTGGCAATAGAGAATTTCAAGAGCAGTCGGCCATTCCCGTTGCTAATGGACAAAATAGAACATCTGCCTCAAAGAAATATCAAACTGATTCTTGCATCTGAAGCAGAACTGGAGAACGTAGCAAAAAAGCATTTCTCAAAGAAGGTGGCACGCAATTCAAGAACGCCCAAAAGCGAAATTCTAATAATACTCCTATAGGTTGAAACAATGGACATGTGATTTATCACGAGAGTATGAAACCTCCTTTTTCTTCTGGGTCACAACACTAAAACTATTTCCACCATATTATTGAATGCTCTCTGCCGCTTTAGTAGCTTTTGCAACCCAACTGTAAAACTCAGAAGTCGCAAGCGAGTCTGATCCTCCGCAGTGCACTAACATTTTGCGGCAGATATAGGAATGATCAGTCAAAGTGTTAGCAGCGCACTCCATACCCCGGGATGGGGCGGGGGGACGTAGCCGCGTACCTCACTTCAGTGTGGCGTAGGATTGGCTATTCAGTGGGTTATTCAATATGAGGCAACCTTCTTCCTGTCATATGCGAACGAAAGACATGATCCCACCAAAAGCGCAGCCAAAGTTCAACAGAAGTACGTAACCACGCCCATCATATCTCAGAAATTTGAAGAATTTGTAGAGCTGCTGAGGAGCATACGATTCAAGTCTCGGAATAAAATCTCGGATAGGGTATGTCCAAGAACTGTTAAACCTTCCATCGCTTCGAAGAAGATAATACGAACTTCGCCTCGTATTATCGGTTCCGAAGGAGCTGAAGGATGGGTGTGGAGGCGGTGAAAATGTTGATTACACCAGGGCTCGCTCCCACAAGTTACTGTATCTGACAAATCGCAATATTTCCATATCCACTACTATCTGAATGAAATTATAGTGCGCGCGAGATCTCTAAAAGCGACTGGGTCAGCGCCGAGAGCTTCTTTTGAGTTTACCAGTCTCATTCAATTCAGTTATGCACAAAATTGGAAATCAAAGTTATAATTTCCAGATTGATTTCACTTGCTGTACATTACCATTTGGCTGCGTCTCGTTAAAGGTCTCACTTCCGCGAACGGCGTTCCGATTAGGAGAAGTGAGCAGAACGCAATTTTTTATGTTCACATTTCTTCGCTGTTATCACAAAGTTGTTCTCAAAGAGACTATTTCAGACCATTGAAGCTCAAGTTACTGTAAATAACCGAGCACGTAAAGGGCTGAAAGAGTGTGCTCTCCAGCTGGTGATGAAAACTCAGTTTGAAGCGATGAGTAGGTCAGCATAGTTTTCATTGGTACTGCTCAATGACATTCAGTTTTCTTGTTGGCTCACGTGGGCTTTACTTTACTTGTACCTTGTTGAACTGCCAGAATGAAAATGCCTTACAGAAATGTCATTTTATTTTGGTCTTTTTTGGTTTTGGTGCCGAATAGTCAGTCTTGTCCAACGCTTTTGTGATGAACAAAGGCTGCTGTGCCCCCTTAGGTTTTCATATGGAACAATTCTTCTCATAGGATCCCTTCAAGCATTTGTGGGATTGGCAACGATGAGTGCCCTGCATGCCCTTTTGGCACTAAAACAA